CTTCAAGGACTGGGCTGCAATTGACCATGTTCCTCATCCCATATTATAAATGAATGAATGAAAAGGCATTTATTAAGTGCTTACTATGTGCCAGGCAGTGTGCTAATCACTGAATATACAAATACAAGCAAGACCCTTCCCTCAAGGAGCTTACATTCTATTGGGTCAGGATTCCAAGTGTGCCAGCATAGTTTGAAAATGAGTGGGAAGCAATAAGGAAGCCTGGTTCCAGGCAATAGAAGGGGAAAGGTGACCCATCAGAGCCTAGGGTCCCAGGATCAGAGTCCGGGATCTGGTGGATGAAGTATAGGAAGATGACCAGAGGGCAGGTGGTGTGGTTTGCAAATGTCCAGAGTGATTTGGAAGCTTCCTTTGACGCTAGAGAAAGCCTCACTATAGCTGCAAGAGAGAGATCCTCACATTTCCCTCCATTTAAAAAAATAAGAACCATTTGTATCTATTTGAAGCTTATTGTGGACCTTGAGGTAAGATTTGGACTAATTGGATAAACTACTCCTCATTTTTCCTACCAGTTCTTGTTAAGGATTACTTCCCCCAGACAGTTATCATGTTCATGGCTTTGTTGAACACTAGGTGGAGTTTGATTATTTCTGATTTTTACTAACCTGTTTATTCCACTGATATACTTTAATATTTTTAACCAAAGTCACATAATTTTGATGATTACTGCTTTATAACTGATCAATCAACAAGCATTTATTAAGTGGTTATTATGGGCCAGGTACTAGGCTAAGTGCTGGAGCTATAGAGGAAAAGTGGTAACATGTAACAGTCCCTGCCCTCAAGGAGCTTACATTCTATCTTATGTATTCATGTTTGAGATCTATAAGTGTTATTCCCCTTTTATTCCTGCTTTTTTCAATTATTGTCCTTGAGCTTCCTCCAAATGGATTTTTTTTTTGTTTTGTCAAGTTCCATAAAGTAACTCTCTGGTAGTTTAATTGGTATAACACTAAATCTCTAACTTAATATTTAGACCATAAGATTACTTGGACTGGTGCAACCATGATCATTGAATAGCCTTCTAATTCTTTAAGTCTTAATCTTGTGATCTTTTTTAAATCAGATAGTTCTGTTTCTCAGAAATCCACAGAGGTTCTATGAAAGACAAAATAGAGCAAATAGTATGAAAATTCTCTTAGGGGAAGAAAAGGAAAATCATGTGGAGAATCATAGATTTAGAGCTGGAAGATACTCTGTAGGAAGGATGGGGTTACATATACATTTAAGTTATTTGATTTTATTAAAATTTGACTTACAGCTTTTCAGGCATAGAACTTTTGTGTAAAGTGGAGCATTATGACTACATATTAATTAACAGAATCTCAGACTTGTAAAGTCCATCCTATAGTTAAAATAGCAAGTAGAGAGGCCTGTCTACTTGAAAATTTCCAGCGTTGGGAAACTTACTAGGTATGGATACACACAGTCCATTCGCTCTTGGACAACTAGTTGTTGAGAAGTCTAGATGTGCTTCTGCAGCTGCCACCCCCCTTTTCTACTACTGCCCCATAAGGACACTCAAAATGAGTCTAACTCTATTTCCATTTGAAAGTAATCGTGTCCTTCCCAAGCCTTCAACAGATTTTTGCTTGGCAGAGTTCACTTGCTATTTTGGTGGCTTTCTCCGGACAAATACTACATTATCAATGGCCTTCACAAAATGTGTTAGCCAGAACTGAACAAAATACTTTTAAATGGAGTCTGACCAGGACAGAGGGCAGCTAAAGTCCTTCATCTTCTAGGTGCTATAGATCTCTTGATGAAGCCAAGATCAAGTTAGCTTTTTTTATGTCATATACTGTTTTCTACAGTCTACAAACCTCTGTATTTTTACATTTGAGCTGTCTAATGATTTCTCCTTTATCCTCTACTAGATGTTGTGGAACCTGTGTAAGACTCTACATTTATTTCTACTAATTTTTGTACTCTTGTTAGATTCAAGATCCTAATTAAGTTGGATCCTACCTCTGTCATCCAACAAATTAGCTGTCCCTTCCAACTTTATATCATCTATAAGTTTAATAAACATTCCATCTATGCTTTTTGAAACAGCGAAGGGGCTAATGATGATAACAGTAGCTCACTTTGTAGAGCACTTTTAATAAGTTAACAAATAGCTGTGCGAGTAGATAGTCGAAGTAATATCTCCATTTTACAAATGAGGATGCTTAGCATTGGAGACATCAAGTGACTTGCCCAAGGTAACATAGCTGGTAAGTGATGGTATCAGGATTTGGACTTAGCTCTCCTGACCTCACATTCAGAGTGCTTTTCACTACTATCTTCCAATCTTTTCCAAATATTTGAGTTGTGTTTTCCCAAATACACTGAGCTTCTTGAACTGGGAGTGGAGGTAGTGTGGGAGTGGGGGAAGGACTGTATCTTCTCTTTCATTATCTCTAAAAGCCTTCAGCATATGGTGGCTGCTCAATTAATACTGGCTGGCTGGCTGGCTGGCTGGTTGGCAGCAGAAGGCCACTGTAGAAATGCAAAGCAGTCACATGGCTGAATTCCCCAGAACATAAATCTCCCATCTGGGTCAGGTTACAGTTCAGAAAACAAGAGCACTCACTCTGAGGCTGAACTGCTTCCTCCTAGTTCTTGGGAGCATGGCACTGGCTTCTCCAGCAGGACATGCAGAGAGCTGCCTTCTTGTGTGGGCATCCGATTGGCAAAAGGTGGCAGTTGAGTTTTTCGTGGACTGTCCACCACCAACCATCCTTGGCTCGTCATCCTGCTGATGACTCTGAGCTTCCAGGAACGTGTCCAGCTGTAATTGTGTGGCTCCTCAGAGCTTTTCATTTGCAAATAGTGACAGTGATGACGATAATGGAATCGTAAAGATGACCCTCATGGCTCTTATTGAAGCTCGCTCAGATTAGGGTTCTCACTAAAGGTAGTGTGCTGTAATGAAGAATCTGCTGGACTTAGACTTAGGAAGGCCTGGTTTCAATCCTGCTTTTGATACTTAACAGTTCTGTGACCATGGGCAAGTTCCTTAATCTTCCTGAGCCTCAGTTTCCTCATATGTACAGTGAGAGAATTGTGCCAGATAGTCTGTTAAGGTCTTTACCATTCTGGAGTGATATGATTCTGTTATTCTAATTGAAGGTAATCAGTTACTAAGCACTGCCTACAAGAATGAAGCAAAAAAAACCCTAGAGGTCTCCAGCAGATGGTTTGCTTAATAAGCCTGTTTCAGAGACCAGCAACCTGGGAAATGGAGACGCCTCCAGAGAAAGCACAGCCCCAGGTTTCTGGAAAGCCTTGTTCGGTCTCTCCTGCTGTCTGGTGTAAAAGGGATCAACAGAAAGGCTCCCGCCTTTGAAGTGAGCGGGCTTATCAAGACCACTGTCAGCATGCCTGGCAGCTAAGTGCTTTTGGTGCTCAGGGGAACTTCTCTAGAGGAAATTCTCCCTCAGCCTAGAGACCTTCTTCCCTGCCCTCTAGATTCTCTTGATAACTCTCTGAGAGGGCTCCAGTTATGTGTATAAGGATTCCTTTGTGAACCTGAGCTCCTTCTCCTCGTACAGAGGGTTGCCCAGCTAAAGAGAGTGGCTGGATTGAGGTATAGGGAGGGCACTGGTCCTAATAGGTCACATCTATTTTCATTTACCTTCTGAAAGAGGATTAAAAAGAAAATTCAATTTTGCCTAATGCTTTCCCCAAATGGCTAATTTATATGCTAATTAGCCAGATAGGAATCAATGAAGCCTGGTAATCAATATGATATCCCAGGCACCAGTAATGAAATTCATTTTGAGATGCCTTGCCAGTGGAAATGAAGCAATTATGCAGAATAAATGGGGCTGCTCAGGGACTAGAGAATCTCCAGACTGCAAATAGCTGTAACATTTCTCCTTGCCTTTCCCCTCTCCTCCATTCCATACTCCATTGATTCCAAGCACCATTTGAGGCACTTAAGGAATCACGTCTAGCTTTCTTCTCTCTAAATGCCTGGTCTTGTCATCCAGTTGCAGCGTCACTACTGGCTGATCGTGGGCTTGTTGTGGGGAGATGGACTAAGGGCAGCTGCAGAATCGGAAAGGGTCTGCTCACATACTGCCGCCTGCAGATAGTTGTTCCTCATCTCCCTAGTTGTTAGTGCCCTCTCCTTCCTCTTCCAATTACCACAAGGATATTTATCTGTTTACATGTATCCCCTCAGCATAATGTGAACTTTTTGAGGACCGGGACTGTTTTTCATTTTGCCTTTGTAGGGCAGCTAAGTGACGCAGTGGAGAGAGCACTGGGCTGAGAACCAGGAGGACTCATCTTCATTAGTTCAAATCCAGCCTTAGACACTTCATAGCTGTGTGACCCTGGGCATAGCACTCAACCCTGTCTGGCTCAGTTCCTCCTCTGCGAAGTGAGCTGGAGAAGGAAATGGCAAACCACTCCGCTGTCTCTGCCAAGAAAACCCCCAAACGGGGTCAAAAATAGATACGACTGAACAGCAGCAATGACATGTGCAAGGCACTCCAGGCTCGGAGCTTTACCACTACAGCATCTAGTAACCCACGCTGGCGTGTAGTAGACACTTTGTAAACATTTGTTGGGTTGGATCTGTTTGAGAAGAAGTAAAGCTCATTAACACTAGAGGATAAATAAGAGCCAAATGGAAGGCAGTGACACGAGTGGGAGGTGATTATAAGGTCATAGGAGCATAGATTTAGAGCTAGATGGGACTTAAGAGGTCACTAACCTGACAAATTAGAAAACTGAGGGCCTGGTTAGCTTTGGGGGACAAGTTGAGATTGAAGTCAGCCACAGTGTATCCATAGGGTTTAGCCTAGTTCTGGGAAGTCTGGTCCAGCCCTGGCTTTGATCTAATGGTTCATATACCTTTCATAATGGAACTCAGTTCCACTGTAAAACAGACCACAACTTCCTGTTTGGCTATTATCTCTCAAACATTAACCACCAGTTCCTCACCATTCAACCTAGATTAATCAGATTGTACCTTTATCTTGTAGGCTCCAGGTGAAAAAAAAAATGTCCCTTTTGGATGGGAAAACCTGCTCCAGCCCAAGATTGCTCTTGTCTTCTTGCCTCCTTTGAAGAGTGGCTGCAGTTGCTTTAGCACCTGAACCTTGGTTGGTTCATTTGCACTGATGTGAAGACCTTGGAGTTAGCTGGCACCCTAGACCATTCCTTTAGAGTCCAAGTAAGATTTTGCCATCCAGCCATCTGAGGTGAGTAGGATTCTCCAACTCTGTTTTCTTGGGAGAGGACAGATTGGTAACTCTTTTAGCCAATTCCGTAATGTGATTTAAACAAATGAGGCCATCTGGTCATCCCCTAATTACAGTGGCTAGAACATGAACATCTACTCTTTGGGGGTGGAGAAGAGAAGCATAGAAATGGTGGTGTTAGTTCGTGGTATTAAACAGGAAAATAGTAAGGGATAAGCATTTATACCGTACCTACTATGTGCCAGGCACAGTGCTAAGCACTTTTCAAATATTATCTCATTTGATCTTCACAACAACCCTGTGAAATGGGTGCTGTTATTACCCCCCTTTTGAGAATATTGTCAAGTAAACTGAGGCAAACAGAAGTTAAGTGAGTTGCCTATACCTACAAAGTGCTTGGGGCTGGATTTGAACTCAGGTCTTCCTGACTCCAGGCCCAGCACTGCTATGTCACCAGCAGCCTCTAACAGCTATGAGAAAACTGCAGCAAAATACCACAAATAAGGAACTATGAAGAACAATAGAGTCAAGAAAAATATAAACTTAAGTACTGAAACAGAAGGTGAGCTGGCCATGTATTAAGAATGAAGGATAACTGCTAGATGGCAGGTGTGTTCCACTGGTGACCTCTCAGTGTCAAGAGAAAGTGAGGAAGCCCCACAGCAGATTGGGAGGGCCTCTGGCGAGGACCTGGTAAGAGGAGCATGGCGCAGATGCCTGCTCTCTGCTTCATTAGAGGAAGCTTCCCAGTTGTTGAGGCCACAGAGCTCTTGTATTGAATATTGAACAAGTATTTTGAGTAATTCTTATGGTAGTGGTGAAGGGTTGTGTGGACCCATTCCCATGCTCTGACTTGGATCCCAATAAACAAGGGCAGAGTGGCAGAGTAGTTAAATGACTTGTTCAGGTCAGAAAATGAGTAAGTAGCATAGGGAGAATTTGGATTTAGGTAATCCTGAACCCATGTCTAACACTCTAACCATCAGGCCATGCTGTCTCTTTGAGTGAGATTGAGTTCAGTACACATTTAGTAACACCTACTGTATGCAAGCTACTGTGCCAGATGATGATGATTTGTATCACATGGAAAAGGACAAGGACTCTGCCCTTCCAGAGTTTTACTACATACTCTGGAAATAGGACATGGATATGAATAGTGTCATACAAGGCAGATTATGGTAGGGGCAAAGGAAAATCCAAAGTGCCCTGGGCAAATCTGAGGAGGAAAAAAAAATCCTTTTGGCTCAGAAGGGCCGGGAAGGCTTCATGGAGGAGGCAGCACCTGAGGTCTTGAAGAAAGAGAAGTATTTCAGTGGTTTGAGTTGAGGAAGGAGAGAATTCCTGGGATGGGGACAGACTAGACACATGTATGGATGTGGGAGACTATATAATGACACTTGGGGAGATCGAGAGGCTTGGCTTAACTGGTAGACTCACAGTTCGTATTGGCAAAAGAGAACCTCTGGGAGTTTCTAAGATGTGATGGGGGCTTGGATTAGGGTGGTGACCATGAGAATAGAAAAGAAGGGACAGATGCAAAGGATAGTAGAGGTGTAGAATGAATAGAACTTGGCAACTGACTGAATGTGGGAGAGAGATAAGGGAGAGTAAAGAATCAAGAGTGATTGTAAATCTTTAAGCCTTTGTGACTGGGAGAAATAATGGTAGGGGCATCAAAGGCAAGAGGAAAGTTAGCAGAAGGGACATTTTTTTTTTGCAGGGGAAATCATCTAAGTTTTTGACATTTTGTGTTTGAGACTCTAGTAAGATATCCAGGTGAAGATATCCAGCAGACAGCTGGAAATAAGGTTGGAGCCAGAAATAGAGATAAGATATATCTTTATGGATGTGATCATTGGCAGCAGTCGAAAGAAGGGCTTAACAAAGGAAAGAGTCCTAAGAGAGAAGAAAAGAGCAAGAACAGAGCCTTGAGAGAATACCCATGTTTACAAAGGAAAGCATACCCCAGGTTGAACCCTGCCCAGATCCCACTAGTGTTGGAAGCCAGAGTGGACTAGGCTTCAGGGAGTCCACTCCAGCCTGCACATAGCCCAGATCCCACTGTGGCCTTCCGTTTATTCCCAACCTTCTTGCCAACACTCTTCTTTAACTCTCCTATCTGGATGCTGACCTCCATCCCTGTGGGAGCCAGGATCACCAAGCTCTGCTCCGACCCTTGGACATATTCACCACTTCCTAACAGTTATAGGCTTTCATTAGTCACCTTAAGAGAAAATAGCTTCAATAGATTGGTGGAAGACAGACGCCAGACTAAAGTGGATTGAGTAGTGAAGGGAAGTGATGGAAGAAGAGCCTTATTCCTGCTTGGTCCAGATTAGTGGTAAAGATTTTCAAGGTTGGGGAGTAGGGGTAGGGGGAAGGGATAAGCATTTATGGAGCACCATTTATGTTCCAGGCACTGTGCTAAGCACTTTACACATATTATCTCATTTGACCCTCACAACGACTCTGAGAGGTAAGTACTATTATTTACCCTCATTTTGCAGATGAGGAAACTGAGAAAGATTAAGTGACTTGCCCAAGGTCACATAGCTAGTAAGAATCTCAGTCTGGATTTGAACTCAGGTCTTCCTAACTCCAGGCTTACCACTCTATCCACTGCACCACCCAGCTGCCTTTCAAGCGTCCCTACCCATTGTCTTTCTTCTGAAGTTTTATTTATACCTCTTCTTTTTACATCACAGCCATTTCCAGAAATACCTCTCGCCCCTACACTCACCCTCCTCACCTGCCTTCTCCCAGGCTTCACAAAGGAAAAAATAGTTAAACATAACCACCTGACTAATTGACTGCATTTGACAGGGTAAATGTCATTCCATAGTCCCCCACCTCTCCAGGGAAAAGAGGAAGGCCTGTTTCCTCTTCTCTCTTTCTTTTTTTTTTTCTGTTTCCTCTTCTCTGGCTTCAAGATTGGTCATTATTTATAGAAGAGTCAGCTTACTTTTATATCATTTTGTATTTGTATCATTGTAGTAATTATGTATATTGTTCTCCAGGTTCTGCTTGCTTTACTCTGTATCAGTTCACATAAGTCTTCCTGTGTTTTTCTGAATTTTGTATATTTGCCATTTCTTTAAGTGCAGTAGTATTCAGTTGTCTTCATTTGCCACTGTTTGTTTAACCTGTCCCCAGTCATAGGATCCCAGGATGATAGGACCATCGATTCAGAGTTAGAAAGGACCTCTGAGATGCCTCCTTATCTCACAGTTAAGGAACCAAGCTTAACTGAAGGTTAAGTGACTTGTTCCAGGCCACATCTGAACATTTAGTTTATTTCCAGTTCTTTGATGCCACAAGGAGTGCCGCTTTACACATTTTAGTATATTTTGAATTCTTTCTGTCTTTGACTTCTGTTGAAACATATGCTTAGCAATGAGCTCTCTGGCTCAAAGGGTTTGAATGTTTTGGTAACTTTTCCCCTGAATACTTCCAGATTGTTTTCCAGAAAGGTTAGAGCAATTCACAGCTCTGCCAACAGCATGTTAGTGTGCCTGTCTTCCCACGGCCTTCCCTACATCCACTGTTTCCATCTTTCATCAGCTCTGCCAAGTCTTAGCCATTGTCTTTAGGTAGACCTTTTCTGAGAGGCACCAGGCTGAGTACAGTTGTAAAACCAGGGTTTTACTGCTAGGGGTCTAATAGCAGAGGCAGAGATACCTATAGAGCTGGCTAAACAGAGGGCAGATCCCGACCAGCTGGGAGCCCTGAGGAAGTGGTAGATGGGAAGGAAGAAGGAAAGATAATTGAGAATGATCTCTTCTGGTATTCTCTATTGACTTACTGCTGGGAGAGTGACTTTTGGTGCTTTTCTGGAAAAGTAGGCTTTTCATCTTCCAGTAGAGCAAAGGTTGCTATAGCCCAGATTTGTCTTCGTGGGCAACCAGAGTAAAGGGAGAAAGGCTTCTGTGAACTTTTGAGCTTTGCTGAGAACTCTAACCCGCAGGGAAGACTTAGCTGCTTCCGCCATCTCCAGAGAGGGGGCAGGAGGCAGTGAGAGTATTCAGACAGCCTGCTATACAAAGCATGTGCATGGTTTGGGTAGTCTCCTTTTGGGTTTGTTTTATTCAGTAATGTGTCCCTTGAGAAGAGCAGCCTAAGCAGCCTGGGTTACCCTGCAATTTCTCCAAACTATTTGCATGAAATACTGCAGGCAAAAAGCCTAGCCCCTGATAGGCCGTTGCTAGGTAACAACATAATCATCAAGAAATTAGGCTGTCCTTTTTTTTTTTCCGACCCAGAGTATGTGTGTGATTGCAGCCTTGTGCAGGAGGCGAGAGAGGGAGTGGAACAAAGAGAGATAAATGGGATGGTCTCACAGGCCAGGAGGCTGCAGCCACAAACCTGCATCCCACGGTAGGACAGTCTCTTTGGGGCTGGGATCTTTCCTCTGTCGGGCCAACCTTGGTGCCTTTTTCCCTATTAAGAAGCCAGACCTAGCAGGGGTGCACCTAGTCACAGGAAGCAGCAGCAGGGACTAAAACTGGGCAGCTTTGACCTTTGGAGTGATCTTAGAGGCAAGGGTAGTTGGGGGTGGGGGTGGGGGGTGCTGGAGGAAGTAGTGCTTAATGTACAGGAACCACTCTGAAGACAGGCAGTGTGGAAAAGTGCCTGGGAGAATGTGACTATGTGCGCACGCACACGCGCAAGCATGTGCACACCGGAGAGACTGTTAGTGTATGAGTTTGTCTGAGAAAAAATGGGAGAATGTATCCATGAGTGGATGTGTGTGTTGTGTGTGTGTGTGTGTGTGTGTGTGTGTGTGTGTGTGTGAGAGAGAGAGAGAGAGAATGAAGGCATGGGGGGGGGAGGCATTTGAATTGAGAAGGAAGAAAAGACCACAGCTGAAGTTTGAAGCCATGTCATTCTTCTAGCCGTGTTTCTGTAGAAACTTGCCCCATCTTGAGGCATTTGGTTCTAGTGTCATTCAGTCATGCTAGAACAGGCCAGCTTTCTGCCCTGTTAGACTTGACAGATGGATG